ATACTGACATATGTTCTTACCTTACCTTAGACTAGTTAATACGTACCTGTGTGATCTTAGTCCGTGCGCTCTGTTATGCAAACGGAGCAAAGACTCAGCCTCAGTCTCAGCCTCAGTCTCAGCTCAGTCTCAGCCCATCAGTTCAGCCCTCTAGTAGCTACCAGTCTCAGTCTCAGCGTCACCTCAGTCTCAGCCTCAGCCTCAGCCTGACGTGCTTACAGCTGCAAAGTATAGTACACAGAAATGTAACGTCGATTTTCTCAGCGGATAAAACGGTACTATATTGTGAGGCGTAGTAATCTGAGGTGCGCTACGTCCGCGCACTAACTTCTCTCCGTACTACAAGTCACGCTGCTTCTATTGACGGAAGTGAGCGAGAGAGAAGTCTCCGGAGAGAAGTTAGTGCGCGGACGTAGCGCACCTCAGATTACTACGCCTCACAATATAGTACCCGTTTTATCCGCTAACATCCGCCTCAAATCACACTTTCCAAAACACATCATTCATTCATGAGCGCTTTAACGACCGACCGCACTCTGGGTCCTTGAAAGCACCGCGTGTGAAACAACTGGAGGAAATAAAATCATAATAATGTGGAAGTATTAGTGAAGTATTTGTAGGTTACTCGGAGCCGCAGCTGTTTGGGACTGAGTGGAAACTGTTGTGTGTAAGTAATAGACCCGAGGCCGAGCCAGGGCCGGGAATAGATATTTACAGGTGCATCCCGCGAGAAATGTAGAAGAAGATGTCCTTATTTTGGGGAAGCAACAAATACACTGCAAAAAATGATAAAAAGAGGTAATACAAGCTTGAAGCAAAGTATAAAATCTCTGTTGAATCGAGCTGCGTTTCATGCGATTTGTAACTTTTAGACAAAAACTATAAAATCCAGTTCATATCGGTCACAGTTGCCCACATTTGTAAACCGCTTTGTGACTCTGGTCTGTGAAAGGCGGTATATAAAAAGGATTACTTACTTACTTAGTTGTGTTCAATGCATTTTATTGCTCTCACTAGTTTTCACCACAGACTGTAAATATTAACGTACAGTAGTCTTGTCTATCTCCGCCGTTCTAACTAATGTGCTACCACTTCCGCGGTCTATGGGCAGTTTCAAAATGGCCGCGGGGTCTGGAAAATGTGAAAAAACGCATCTGTGCGTCAGCTGCACGAGCTCCATTCATTTTAAACGAGAGACTTCTAAAGTCCACAGTGGACTAAACTAGACTGGTCCAGAACACTCAGCATTGACACACATGTGGAACTGATACATAAACATGTTCAGTTCAGCTTTTTCAGAAGTTTTAAGGTTTATTGGAGGATTTTCCCAAATTTTATGAAAGAACCACCCTCTCCACTTTTTGAACAAATCTCTCTGGTTTTATTGGACGAGCACCAGAATGATTGACAACTGGGAGGACCAATAGTCTTGATGACCCACCCAGAAGTAGAAAATCCTATGTATACCTTCAATCTGAGCACTTTTTGTTAAATTGTACTTTTTGCAGCGTATATTTTTAAGTGTGTGTGTGTGCGTGTGCGTGTGCGTGTGCGTGTGTGTGTGCGTGTGGTGTGCGTGCGTCTGTGTGCGTGTGCGTCTGTGTGTGCGTGTGGTGTGCGTGTGGTGTGCGTGCGTCTGTGTGTGTGTGTGTGTGCGTGTGCGTCTGTGTGTGTGTGTGGTGTGCGTGCGTCTGTGTGTGTGTGTGTGTGTGTGTGCGCGTGCGTCTGTGTGTGTCCAGTCCCAGCTCCGGGCCTCAGCTGCTGCTCTAGACTCTCTCCCAAATACCACCAAAACTACTTTTAAACAGAACATGGAGAAAGCTTAGAGCAGCAATTTTACCATTCTCTGCTCTCTCTCTCTCTGCTCTCTCTGCTCTCTCTGCTCTCTCTGCTCTCTTTCTCTCTGGTCTCTCTCTCTCTCTCTCTGCTCTCTCTGCTCTCTTTCTCTCTGGTCTCTCTCTCTCTCTCTCTGCTCTCTCTGCTCTCTCTGCTCTTTCTCTCTCTCTCTCTCTCTGGCCTCTCTGGTCTCTCTCTCTCTGGCCCTCCCCCTCTCTCTGGTCTCTCTCTCTCTCTGGTCTCTCTCTCTGGTCTCTCTCTCTCTGGTCTCTCTCTCTCTGGCCTCTCTCTCTCCGGCCTCTCTCTCCGGCCTCTCTCTCTCTCTCTGGTCTCCCCCTTTCTCTGGTCTCTCTCTCTGGCCTCTCTCTCTCCGGCCTCCCTCTCTCTTATCCTCTCTCTCTCTCTCTGGCCTCTCACTCTCTTATCCTCTCTCTCTCTCTGGCCTCTCACTGGCATCTCTCTGCTCTCACTCTCTTATCCTCTCTCTCTCTGGCCTCCCCCTCTCTCTGGTCTCTCTCTCTCTGGCCTCCCCCTTTCTCTGGTCTCTCTCTCTCTCTGGTCTCTCTCTCTCTCTCTGGTCTCTCTCTCTCTGGCCTCTCTCTCTCTCTCTCATAGACACCAGATCTACTTAATCCACTGCAGCACACCCTCTCATCAACTGTCTAAAAGCAGTAGCTCTCTTTCTCTTTTGTCTCTGGAAAGTTAAGCTTGATATTTTCTCTGTGAACGTGGACTTAAAGCAGAGATTTAAATGTAGAAACCAGAGACTCACACTTCCTGAGCACAGATGCTGATGTGGACGTCACGTTGGCATATTCCTAAGAGCTTGTTTGTGGTGGTTCCCGCGGTTACGGAGATGGAGGAGACGGAACATAAACTCTCAGTGTGAGCGAGGCCCATAAGTGTTCGTCATTAATCTGGATGTGCTGATGTGAACGGCTGCTCTCCCTCTGAGCCACAAATGTGCATCACACCAAGAGCAGAAACACTCGGCTCGTACTTTAGCTTCTATTTGGGACCATTTTCTTGTATTTATTGTCGGATAATGCACTGCTGCTGGACCTTTAGCTCTCTCTGGTCTCTCTCTTTCTGGTCTGTCTCTGGTCTCTCTCTGGTCTCTCTCTGGTCTCTATCTGGTCTGTCTCTCTGGTCTGTCTCTGGTCTCTCTCTTTCTGGTCTGTCTCTGGTCTCTCTCTCTCTGGTTTCTCTCTCTGGTCTGTCTCTGGTCTCTCTCTCTGGTCTCTCTCTGGTCTCTCTCTGGTGTCTCTCTCTGGTCTCTCTCTCTGGTCTCTCTCTCTGGTCTCTCTCTCTGGTCTCTCTCTCTGGTCTCTCTCTCTGGTCTCTCTCTCTGGTCTCTCTCTCTGGTCTCTCTCTCTGGTCTCTCTCTCTGGTCTCTCTCTGGTCTCTCTCTGGTCTCTCTGTCTGGTCTCTCTCTCTGGTCGCTCTCTGGTCTCTCTCTGGTCTCTCTCTCTGGTGTCTCTCTCTGGTCTCTCTCTGGTCTCTCTCTCTGGTCTCTCTCTGGTCTCTCTCTCTGGTCTCTCTCTCTGGTCTCTCTCTCTGGTCTCTCTCTCTGGTCTCTCTCTCTGGTCTCTCTCTGGTCTCTCTCTGGTCTCTCTCTGGTCTCTCTCTCTGGTCTCTCTCTGGTCTCTCTCTCTGGTCTCTCTCTCTGGTCTCTCTCTGGTCTCTCTCTCTGGTCTCTCTCTCTGGTCTCTCTCTGGTCTCTCTCTCTGGTCTCTCTCTGGTCTCTCTCTCTGGTCTCTCTCTCTGGTCTCTCTCTCTGGTCTCTCTCTGGTCTCTCTCTGGTCTCTCTCTCTGGTCTCTCTCTGGTCTCTCTCTGGTCTCTCTCTCTGGTCTCTCTCTCTGGTCTCTCTCTGGTCTCTCTCTCTGGTCTGTCTCTCTCTCTGGTCTCTCTCTCTGGTCTCTCTCTGGTCTCTCTCTGGTCTCTCTCTGGTCTGTCTCTCTCTCTGGTCTCTCTCTCTGGTCTCTCTCTGGTCTCTCTCTTTCTTATGGACATTTATTAACATTTAGGGACCAGTGTGTTTTCTCCAAGCCCCTGTGATCCAAGATGGCGTCCTGTTCAAATGAACGACTTGTGCTCAGTAGTTCATGGGACTTCACGGAGACCGGGAGATTAGCAGAACTCGCCCATATTTGGGCATCGTCTGGTTCTCCCGGTTCTGCGCAGTGGACGAGCTCCCATGATGCTTTGCGTCAAATACGCGTGCGTGGCTCTCGTGCACGTGCACGGAGGGGCTCGGCCGCGCTCTGACCAATCAGAGCTGATCAGAGCAGCAGCAGGGCGGAGTCAGAGCGGGAAGGAAAGGAGCAGAGTTTGTGGCAGTAAAGTGTGGATTTAAAGAAAATCGAACAAAAGTTCAGGACAAGAGACACTAAAATCCCCACAAAATCCGACCTTTATGAAAGCTGTAAGTTCTCTGTCAGCTGAGGTCGAGCTGTTTTCGTTTACATCGAGTCTTATGGGACTTTTTGCTGGGTAGCCCTTGTGAATTTAGTCTGCAGTACCACAGCGCCCCTTGTGACCCGCTGTGTTTGTGACCCGCTGTGTTTGTGACCCGCTGTGTTTGTGACCCGCTGTGTTTGTGACCCGCTGTGTTTGTGACCCGCTGTGTTTGTGACCCGCTGTGTTTGTGACCCGCTGTGTTTGTGACCCGCTGTGTTTGTGACCCGCTGTGTTTGTGACCCGCTGTATTTCCTGCTTCCACGATGTGAGTCAGAATCTCTTGTTCTTATGAACGTGGTGAGATGCATTGTGGGAAATCAGAGGCTTTTGTCACGAGTCAATCAGATTCTTGTGTTCCGCCCGCTTCATGTGTCATTCATAAATCTGCTGCTGCCTCCGGCTCCGGCGCCGCGGTCGATTGTGAGAAAAGGAGATTATATATTATTATGATAAAGGTGTTCTGTTCTGTTTTGTTCTGTTCTGTTCTGACTCCTGTTTCTGACACATTTCCCCAGAGAAGTGTTGAAATGCAGAGAATGACTTTCCCTCTCAGGGTTACACACTATTCTCTAATGTTACTGTTTTTAAATCAAATGATGCACTTTACAGCCACATGAGAGCTGCAGATCGTCAATGTTTCTGTATAAAACTGTTTCGCTCACGACAGATCAGAGAATCAACACATGTGGAACACAGACGAGCCATGGTCCATGATCCTCAGACCCTCAGAGCCTCAGACCCTCAGTCCCTCAGTCCCTCAGAGCCTCAGACCCTCAGAGCCTCAGTCCCTCAGACCCTCAGACCCTCAGAGCCTCAGACCCTCAGAGCCTCAGTCCCTCAGACCCTCAGACCCTCAGAGCCTCAGAGCCTCAGACCCTCAGAACCTCAGTCCCTCAGACCCTCAGACCCTCAGACCCTCAGAGCCTCAGAGCCTCAGAGCCTCAGTCCCTCAGACCCTCAGACCCTCAGAGCCTCAGACCCTCAGAGCCTCAGACCCTCAGAGCCTCAGTCCCTCAGAGCCTCAGAGCCTCAGACCCTCAGAGCCTCAGACCCTCAGAGCCTCAGACCCTCAGAGCCTCAGTCCCTCAGAGCCTCAGACCCTCAGAGCCTCAGTCCCTCAGACCCTCAGACCCTCAGAGCCTCAGAGCCTCAGAGCCTCAGACCCTCAGAACCTCAGTCCCTCAGACCCTCAGACCCTCAGAGCCTCAGAGCCTCAGAGCCTCAGTCCCTCAGAGCCTCAGACCCTCAGAGCCTCAGTCCCTCAGACCCTCAGACCCTCAGAGCCTCAGAGCCTCAGAGCCTCAGACCCTCAGAGCCTCAGAGCCTCAGACCCTCAGTCCCTCAGACCCTCAGACCCTCAGAGCCTCAGAACCTCCTGCTTCTGTGAGGACTTAGGAACCGCTCAAAAACACCATAAAACCAAAGAGAAAAACTGCATGAAACTGATATTGATGCTGTTGGAGAAACACATCCAAATAATACAAACTATAAATACAAATACATTACACTTCTCACTTCTCCCACAAAAAGCAGCACATTCTATAGCAGCAACTACCAATTATCTTTTATTTTATCTTGTTATCTATGATCTTAAATAATAGATCCTGTTTGATGTGTGTAATCTGAGTCTTATTCCCTCCTTTTATACTTCATTCTTTTGTCTGCTGTATTTTCCTCTGAGGAACAGATAAAGGACTATTGTATCTTCTCCAGTGTCTGTAAAGTCTGTAAATACTTTGGTCACAGACAGTGCTGCAGAATACTCTTATTATTGAGGAGGAGTTCTCACTAAAAGCAGAGAAACTAGGACACTTCCTAAAATACCTGTGTGTTTGTCCTGTAGTGTCCCAGCAGGTGGCGCTCTCCCCACCGGGCCCTGTGTCATGGACCAGTCTGAGAAATGTGCTCAGGCCACAGTCAGACATGTCCCAGTGAAGTCAGCGGGTTCATACGAATAAATACATATCTATAATATAAACACATATAAGAAACACATATATCTAGTGTTGGGGAGACGGGGGAGACGGGGGAGACGGGGGAGACAGAAGAGAGGCTGAGATTCTGAGACTCAAACACGTGATTATTGACGGGTTCAAAGCAGAAGTATTTAAGAAAATGTTGGTTATGGTTTAAAGAGGATTTTTATATGATTATGTATCTTATTTGTTTATTCATCTTGCCAGACCAGAGAGAGAGACCAGAGAGAGAGACCAGAGAGACCAGAGATAGACCAGAGAGAGAGACCAGAGAGAGACCAGAGATAGACCAGAGAGAGAGACCAGAGAGAGAGACCAGAGAGAGAGACCAGAGAGAGACCAGAGAGAGACCAGAGAGAGACCAGAGAGAGAGACCAGAGAGAGACCAGAGAGAGAGACCAGAGAGAGAGACCAGAGAGAGAGACCAGAGAGACCAGAGATAGACCAGAGAGAGAGACCAGAGAGAGACCAGAGATAGACCAGAGAGAGAGACCAGAGAGAGACCAGAGAGAGAGACCAGAGAGAGACCAGAGAGAGACCAGAGAGAGACCAGAGAGAGAGACCAGAGAGAGACCAGAGATAGACCAGAGAGAGAGACCAGAGAGAGAGAGAGAGACCAGAGAGAGAGACCAGAGAGAGAGACCAGAGAGAGAGACCAGAGAGAGAGACCAGAGAGAGAGACCAGAGAGAGAGACCAGAGAGAGAGACCAGAGAGAGAGACCAGAGAGAGAGACCAGAGAGAGACCAGAGAGAGACCAGAGAGAGACCAGAGAGAGAGACCAGAGAGAGACCAGAGAGAGACCAGAGAGAGAGACCTGAGAGAGACCAGAGAGAGAGACCAGAGAGAGAGACCAGAGAGAGACCAGAGAGAGAGACCAGAGAGAGACCAGAGAGAGACCAGAGAGAGAGACCAGAGAGAGACCAGAGAGAGACCAGAGATAGACCAGAGAGAGAGACCAGAGAGAGACCAGAGAGAGACCAGAGAGAGAGACCAGAGAGAGACCAGAGAGAGACCAGAGAGAGACCAGAGAGAGACCAGAGAGAGACCAGAGAGAGAGACCAGAGAGAGAGACCAGAGAGAGACCAGAGAGAGAGACCAGAGAGAGACCAGAGAGAGACCAGAGAGAGAGACCAGAGAGAGACCAGAGATAGACCAGAGAGAGAGACCAGAGAGAGACCAGAGAGAGACCAGAGAGAGAGACCAGAGAGAGACCAGAGAGAGACCAGAGAGAGACCTGAGAGAGACCAGAGAGAGAGACCAGAGAGAGACCAGAGAGAGACCAGAGAGAGAGACCAGAGAGAGAGACTATAGAGAGACCAGAGAGAGACTAGAGAGAGACCAGAGAGAGACCAGAGAGAGACCAGAGAGTGAGACCAGAGAGACTATAGAGAGACCAGAGAGAGACCAGAGAGTGAGACCAGAGAGACTATAGAGAGACCAGAGATAGACCATGCTAGTCTTCTGAACTAGTCACAGCTGTGCGCACAAGCCAAAGTTTTCTTCTGACTTTATTTAAAGATAACCGTCATGTGATGCTAGCTGTTTTATGAGGATATAGATGTAAACACGCGGCTGTATAAAGCACAGCTGCCCCATGGTACAGTGAGGCCACAGCTGGTCCTGTTACTTGGATAACACCAGCAGACTAAACTGTATTTGCATTAATTTCCTTGACGGTTGAAGGACATAACAGTCTTTATCAGTCAAAAACAGTGTGTGGTTTTATAATGAGTCTGTCATAAAGGCCTTATCTGTGCACAATGCATTTGGATCACACTGTTATTCACTATGTAATGAAGGCTACAGCGGATTATACAGGTTTTATCATCACGAGACAGGCTTAAAGGGCTCATTTAGACTGCTCTTATCCACACAAGAGAGACCAGAGACCAGAGAGAGACACCAGAGAGAGACCAGAGAGACTATAGAGGGACCAGAGAGAGACCAGAGAGACTATAGAGGGACCAGAGAGAGACCAGAGAGACTATAGAGGGACCAGAGAGAGACCAGAGAGACTATAGAGGGACCAGAGAGAGACCAGAGAGGGACCAGAGAGGGACCAGAGAGGGACCAGAGAGAGACCAGAGAGAGACCAGAGAGAGACCAGAGAGAGACCAGAGAGAGACCAGAGAGAGACCAGAGAGAGACCAGAGAGAGACCAGAGAGAGACCAGAGAGAGACCAGAGAGAGACCAGAGAGAGACCAGAGAGAGACCCGAGAGAGACCCGAGAGAGACCCGAGAGAGACCCGAGAGAGACCCGAGAGAGACCCGAGAGAGACCAGAGAGAGACCAGAGAGAGACCAGAGAGAGACCCGAGAGAGACCCGAGAGAGACCCGAGAGAGACCCGAGAGAGACCCGAGAGAGACCCGAGAGAGACCCGAGAGAGACCCGAGAGAGACCCGAGAGAGACCAGAGAGAGACCAGAGAGAGACCAGAGAGAGAGACCAGAGAGACCAGAGAGAGAGACCTAGAGAGAGACCAGAGAGAGACCAGAGAGAGACCCGAGAGAGACCAGAGAGAGACCAGAGAGAGACCAGAGAGAGACACCAGAGAGACCAGAGAGAGACCTAGAGAGAGACCTAGAGAGAGACCTAGAGAGAGACCCGAGAGAGACCAGAGAGAGACCAGAGAGAGACCAGAGAGAGACACCAGAGAGACTAGAGAGGGACCAGAGAGGGACCAGAGAGAGACCAGAGAGAGACCAGAGAGAGACCAGAGAGAGACCAGAGAGAGACCAGAGAGAGACCAGAGAGAGACCAGAGAGAGACCCGAGAGAGACCCGAGAGAGACCCGAGAGAGACCAGAGAGAGACCAGAGAGAGACCAGAGAGAGACACCAGAGAGACCAGAGAGAGACCTAGAGAGAGACCTAGAGAGAGACCTAGAGAGAGACCCGAGAGAGACCAGAGAGAGACCAGAGAGAGACCAGAGAGAGACACCAGAGAGACTAGAGAGGGACCAGAGAGGGACCAGAGAGGGACCAGAGAGAGACCAGAGAGAGACCAGAGAGAGACCAGAGAGAGACCAGAGAGAGACCAGAGAGAGACCAGAGAGAGACCAGAGAGAGACCAGAGAGAGACCAGAGAGAGACCAGAGAGAGAGAGAGAGACTAGAGAGAGACCTAGAGAGAGACCAGAGAGAGACCAGAGAGAGACCAGAGAGAGACACCAGAGAGAGACACCAGAGAGAGACCAGAGAGAGACCAGAGAGAGACACCAGAGAGAGACCAGAGAAAGACCTGAGAGAGACCAGAGAGAGACCTGAGAGAGAGACCAGAGAGAGACCAGAGAGAGACCAGAGAGAGACCAGAGAGAGACTAGAGAGACTAGAGAGAGACTAGAGAGAGACCCGAGAGAGACTAGAGAGAGACCCGAGAGAGACTAGAGAGAGACCCGAGAGAGACTATAGAGGACCCAGAGAGAGACTAGAGAGAGACCCGAGAGAGACTAGAGAGAGACCCGAGAGAGACTAGAGAGAGACCCGAGAGAGACTAGAGAGAGACCCGAGAGAGACTAGAGAGAGACCCGAGAGAGACTAGAGAGAGACTAGAGAGAGACTAGAGAGAGACCATAGAGGGACCAGATGTGGGCAGTGACTGAACCACTTCCTACTCATTGAATAAACAGTGTAATTTAGAAAATAAAAATACATGGATAAAAGTAAAATGCAGATTAATCACCCTCTACAAAAACACGTTCTCTCAACACGATCCTAAATTACTTCATTTATGAACTATAGCCTAAGTTTCTCTCCAGTCCATAACACACAATGTTCATTCTAATCCAATATTTGCCTCAAAATGTCAGAAAATAATTAAACATGACAGTTTTTCCCAAATGCCAAATGTTGTGTCGGTGCAAATCTCTGGATAGATAAGAGTCCACTTTATCAAATCCAGGACTGGGCCTTTTATAGTCCGCAGCAGCAGTTCCCATGTGAGGCATCATACTACAGGTCCCCAGGAGGGCCAAAAAGCCCTGGGATCAATAGGCATTAGGCCCAGCTCCAGCGGATCAGGCTCCATCAGGGGGAGCCGGGGTCTTGCTCCGTGGGCGTTCACAGAGGCTGAGTGACTTTATAATGATTTTGTCTGCAATAATGTGCTGATAATTCTCTATTGACCTGGCACCCGGGACGCGCTTCTTTGACGTGTATGGATTTTTGAACGTACAGTGAAAAACTAGGGATTGACTTTTGATCAGACCGTCAGGATTATGTGAGCGTTAGCGTGGAAAATATGAGGAATGTCTGCCAGGTTTGAGAGAAACACAAAAGGCTCAAGTGTTTCTTTGTTGAACTGTTGAGAGGTTTTCTTTTGTTCTGTGATGGATTCATCAGAGCGAGATTTAGAGAGCGGTAAATCATCAACTTTGTCATTTAGAGCAGAAATATGTAAGATTCAACAGAAC